TGACTGAATTACTCGAGTCATCAAGCAGTCATCAAACAGTTTTCAAAAACAATCAAGTCATGTCCAATAAACTGTCTGATGTGCAGGTGATTTGGCATTGGTCCGTTGGTCCATTAGTACGATTGTTGGTTGGCAATTCGGACTTGTAAATGACAATTGATTCTTGATTGTTGCATTGGTGTCCATATGTGTCCATATGTGACTCATCGTATACGGAACAGGACTGACAAGTGTGTCTGAATTGATGACAGATGATACAGCCTATCCAACAAAAAGTAATACATTGATCGTGTTTGCATGGAAATAAGCTTCATAACTTCCACTTCTGAATGTATGCGAATCAACATTCAAACAACGGATACGTCCAATGACTCTTGCAAATGCATTGATAGAGTGTTGTTGAATAATTCGAGTGTTTACAAATCAGCATCACTGGAAATAGTTACCGTTATTCAGACAGTCAGTTGTCCAGACATTACAGTTGTAATATTACACATTTCCCATTGTTGCTGGATACCAATATGCCTACATTTAAAGATGAATGCTACCAACAAAATATTCCATTAGAACTGCAACTGTTGCTTCAAGATCATGGACATATCGTTGTAAATCGTTTCAAATATCAGTCTGTTACCCCATTTTAAACCAATCCATCAATCTCCGATTCGGCTCGTTCAATACTCTCCAGCAGCTTGCATTCCATTCCTACAACGACTTGTTCATAGTATCCATGTTTACAGCGTTTGTTGTTTTGACTGCAATTTGCATCAACCCAAAATAATGGAATTTACCATTTCCTTTGTAGAGTTTGTCCATAATGTCTGTTTTAATGTAATCTTTTGACTGTTTTTCGATACAAAAGTCGACAATCATTGCTTTATCATCGACTTGACCGCAGTTTGATGAGTTGACAGCACAATCGCATATACACAGGATACGAAATATCAAATCCAATCAAAGTTGGGTATTGTTTGCTGTATCCTTGTCAACTCGGACAATAGCACCACATGGCAATACTTGATAGCAATGTAGACTGTTTTGGTGTTGTGAGATGCAATGATACAACGAGTTTCAGGACCCATTCCAATATGATGCAGCATCTTGCAGACAAACAGTTCATTTGTATCTGGTTGCCTGATACCTTTTACATTGTATTGTGTGGGTCTGTACTGACGAGTCTTGATGTAGCAACAAACAGTCAGTTGTTGTTGACATTCCAAGCGAATCTGGTCTGGATTCCGTTTTTCTTTGGAGATAATGAGATGTCAAACAACTGGTCAATGTCAGCCTTGTAGTGTTGAATGACAGTATTGATTGACAGCAGTTTGAATCGGTTCCGTATTTCCATCCAGATACTGTGATATTGGCAAGAAGGATCTTGCAGTTGTTGGTTGTTGATGGGCAAGTTGGATATAAAGTTGTTTTCAATCAATCCGTTGGCAATCATGATATCATACCTAGATTTGTATGTACGCAATACTGCTGTCATCTTGTGTATGGTGTTTCCTATTCCTACAAACACATTCCATTTCCAGCTGTTTTTTGCAGACATTTGATGTTGTGTAACAATGAGGGTGTAAAATGTAGTACAGAAATAGATGACTAAATTACAATTATTCCAACGGATTTAGCACTCTTGTTCAAGTAAAACGGTATCATCCGATGCTCATTATACACTACTTGTACGTTGAATCATGCCAATCACTTGCTACTTTAATAAACATGGAATATCACAACAATATTGATGACCAACTAATAGCCGAGTGTCAACTCATTCCAGTTTTGGTTTATACTCATTTCTTAACCCCAGCCCTTGACCCTAACCCTTTTCAGGGCGAAGCTTTTAATCAGCCATATGCTATTTGAGTGTATGATCAGATAGCGGCTCAACCAAGGTTGCAGACCACCATATAAAGGGAGATCCCTTCAAAATCTGACGTTGATAGCAAATCGACAACCCTGGCAACACAAGCTCCTTAGGACGGTCATTCAAGGAGTATGCTTTTAATACCATTTATTCAATAATGTATATAAACATGGTTCAAAAACCGACCTGTTGAATGACATTACAACTTGCTCAACCAAACCAGTAAAATGAAACTCGCAGTTGCTGTATTGTCATCGATCTTGCTTGCATGCTCGGTTACTATTGCCAATCCAGTTAAACCCAGTGTAACTACAGATGTTGAATCTAGCACCTCGCCAACTCCTAATCCAAACGGTATAGGTTTAGGTGGTCTTGATCCACTTCCAGATAGCATCAAAGAATTGCTCGAAAGATACAAGAAAGGAAAGCATGATCTTAATCAGCAAAAAAAATATGCGACCCGTTACAATCTGAATATGACAGCCAGATTATGCTGGTAATGGGCTTGGGAACAAAGCTTTACACTTTGGAACGTAAATCTCGAAAAAACGGCGGCAGTCCAGAATATGATGATAAAATTCGGAAGACTAGGCTTGATCTTAAAGCCCAAGAATTCAAACTTAGGGATATTAGAAAAAGTCGCAAGGAGTGCGATTCCAAATGTAATGGTATTGAAGCTGCAATAAGTCACATCAAAATGAGCCTCGTGGATCTCATTTTCGGAGAATCTTCGAATTATGAATTATTTGAACAGCAAATTGATCTTATCAACAAGCACCCTTCCGTTGTAGAGTACCTTGACAAATTATCATTAGAATACAGTGAGATTCCTGGTCAAAGCTCTAGTGATCAACAGCGTCAAGAACCGCAACCATCATCAAGTAGACCATCTGGATCTGGATCCTCTAGACAGAAAGCTCCCTCCAATAAACGGAAAAGGGTTTCCAAGCTTATGGGTAATGCTGGATCATTTTTTCAGCAACCCAAAGATGACGATCCATCCGTTTGATTTGAATGTTAATCTGTTGGTTTCAACCGATTCAATTGTCATTCTGGCTTAATTTGCAATAAATTTGGATTTACATGCATTATATCTGATCATTCCAGTCTTGGTTGGCATGATATTATATTGTACATTGACACTTGTATTTCCAATACAATACAGTTGATTGTATATTGCATAGTTGTACACATTGATGATGCTGACATGCATGTGTGGATCGTGTCGATATGATATCGCTTGTCATGTCGTATTGACACATGACATGCAATACCAATCAGGTTTCAATCACAAGTGTAACTCATCATCAGCCTCAGTAGCATTACAAACACTTGGATTTGGACTTGTTCAATATAGTATTTACTGTGCAACAAAACATGCAGTGGTTTGATTCAATGGTGATTAGCATCCACATTCACATGTCCATATCTTTGACTTGCCAAACATTTGCCATCATTATCCATCATGCTCAGTAAAATCGTAATTGGAACCCACTTGATATTGATTTCCAGTGTAAATACCAGACAATCAATATTACGTTGATAAATAATCATCATGCTGCATTTCAGAATTGTAGCATTGTTTCTTGGTGATCAACCTACTGCCATTTGATGCTTTTCAACATGTTTAGTATAGTTGTTTGGATGTTACAACAGCTCTGCTCCATACATGTCCAAACAATCAGTCCATGTTTTTACTGTAATACACGTTGTATATATGTCCACTGCATCATCTCATCACACATCCTGTCATAATTATGATACAAACTAGCTTAAAATACACGTCCATGAGTCTGTAGTCGATTATTAACAATGCAATGGTCCCAGCTGAATGATCCATATCAAACATGTATAAAAGCAATTGTTGTATACAACATACTCGGTAAACCAGTTTATGTTGATTTTTTGTTGGTACATTATCCAAATCTATTGCATGTCATAAGCAGTTGCATTTGTTGACAAAATGGTTCAAAACAACAGTCAATGACAATCCATTGCATTCACTGTTGTACAATGTGCACCTACAAACAATATGCATATATCATGATTCCAAACTTTATTGTTTCAATTGTATGCAGATTGGTAACAGTTTGATATTTAATCAAGCTATTGTCGATTATTGAATAAAAGTCTTTGGTTCTGGATCTTGACCTCGTTTACTCTTGCTTCGAGTCGACTAGCTTCACCACATACATGGATTTTTTTCGCAAGGGATTTAGTGTACAAATCCTCAGTATTTTTTAAATTTTTTTTGATAGAATTGAAGATGGCCCTCAATCGCATTTTCTTTGATGATTCTTTTTCACGGATGCATTTATCTAGAGTCTGCGTATATAAAAGTGTTTGTGAATTTACAAGTATATTGCGTTTTTTGCACTCTTGTTTTAGATTTTCACATTCAGCAGTTTTCGAATTGTATTGTTCCAAAATTGTATTATAGCGTGAAAACAGACTAGCGACACGAGTATCACTATGAGGCCAAAATACTGGCTTTGGAGCTAAAGGTGGGCGTAAACCTGATGTTAAGCCTGATGTCGATGTCGATGGTGATGGTTCGAATGTTGGAGCTGGACTTTCAGAAGTCGATACAACTATAGCCGACGACATGGCTGCCAACAGAGAAATCACAAAAATCACAGCTTGTTTCATTGTAAACTATCCAGATGAACAATACAGACGAGCAGCAATTTATTCCGATAGTGTCGAAATACTGGGTAGTTTTGGCAGTTTGTTTTGATATTTATACAACATGGATTGATTAAAGGGTCAAAACTAAAGACTGTTTTTACAACTGTACTCGTGTAAGATGGAACACCAAACAAGGGAGTTCAACTACACAACAAGCAATCAGTCTCATAGTATTTCCGATGCCAGTTTCCACCAAATTTAAAGGGCAATATTGTGTCTTTCAAAACCCTTGCGGCTAACGACATAGGGATAGTAGGGACAATAGGGACCAAGTGAGAATAAAGTCAAAGTGATGTTTATTCAAAGTATCGGTAGATTGTTTAGTGCTGATTTGGATGACAGAATCATTTATTGTTCGTGTCTTGTGCATTGCAACCAGTTTGTTGAACTGCAATCCATCTCGATTGAATACATGACATCACTCGGCTGATCTAACGATACTGTTTGGTGATTTTGATTTTGGCATGATTTTTGGCATACCATTTGGAGAATCTGCACATTAACATAAACCAAACAGGCAGTTTACAGTTCCAAACCATGATCAAAGTGGAGGTTTCTATGCAACGTTTGATTGTAATACATTGTTAATGGCTGCAGGATACAACTTTGGTGTACTATTACAATCGTAATCCTGTTATGGTCATGATTTACTTTTGAACAAGTTTTATTTAAACGAATGCCAAGACATGAAATGAACTCATGTGAACATAACATATCCATACGAGCATATGCTGGTGGTGTTACAAGTGTATTGGTCAACTGTTGTATGATTGTTGTGATGATGGTGTCAGGGTTGTGTTTGTTACCAATGGTACGCTACCAACAGAAACTCGATTGATCCAACAGCCATGCATACACATTGGTGTCAGTTACATCGAATGTTTGTTCAAGTAGATCGATTCAAATGGGTTGCATATAACCGACTAATCCAGCATTCATCCATTGTCAAACAACCATAATGCACAATACCACCAAGTGTGCGATTACACTCGCACTGATCAGTCGTTGCACAGTATGCATCGGTCAATGTCAAACATATGTGTGTCTGCAACTAAATTGCAATCCATGACATATCCACACAATCCAACATGTCAAATCATGTATCATGAGTCCAAGATTGATCAAAAACCTGATCATGGTAAACACAGCATGTTGTTGCATATCAGAGTCAATATATCAAGTGACAGTTGCACACTGGCTGATGGTGCACAGCGTATCAGTCACAATATGTCAGAACTTTTGGAGCTTCGTGATTTGTATAAATGTAGTAAAGTATAAAGTATAAAGTAGATAAAATATAATCTGTAACTGTTAGTTATCAGAAGAGAACAAATCAAAAGTGTAATGGATGTTGCACTTTAATCCAAGATCAGCAGACTTGGTCTTTTCAAGTATAGTAAAAAGGTGTAATAAAGTAATTAGAAAGTTGAAATAGTTTGACGAGTTGTTTATTGATAAAAGTAAGCATATTAGCTTTTATAGTAGTTGATTGTTTGTCTTGTGATACGAACAAGTAACACATTTGATAATGAGTGGTTGTAAACGAAAAGTAGTTGAGCCAATGGGATTGATTCCTGTAGTTGACTATGTCTACATAATGACACCATTTACTCGTTACTTGGAACATGAATCTCCAGAAATGAGGATAATGGAGTTTGGAGCATATGGATTGGTGGTGATGAAGGGTTTAATTTGGAGATTCAAAGTGTGTGCTATTAGAATTAGCTTTGTCACAGATTACCACTTAGGAGTATCCGTCTGGATATTCCAACACACGACTCGATATGTGATGTTCAAATGTCTAATATTCAGACTGTGCTGATTGCAATTGTGGTTGTAATTGTGGTTGTGTGTAAATATCAATCCAATACTCGATTCAATACTTGATTCAACTTGAGCATGTCCAGTTTTGTAGTAATCCATTTGATCACATTGACAGAATCAAGCAATGATCTGATTCAACAACACCGAATGATGCATCCATATCACTTGTATCAATCAATTGTACACAATCAGTCAATATAATCAACAATCACTGTCATGATTGGCATGATTAACATGATTGATTCAATTCATTCAATTTATTCGATCCATTTAATTGCATAGATCTGACTGACATTACAACTCATTGTTGTAAAATCACAACCTCACAATCAATCACCAATCACTATACTTTCGCTCATATAGTTTTTTGTTGTATGCTGCTGTGATTCGAGTTCGGTCGCTTGTCAATTCATCTCGATAGCGTTTGGCTTTAGCTGGTGATTGAACACCTTGAATATACTGCGTGATATCATTCCACAGTTCAGGCAGTATGGGTGTCTTGTCAAGACTCGAGTTGTACCATTGTGGTTGTTGTGGAGCCACATGCGCAGTCGAAACAATCCGACAGACTGGATTCACTACAAAAAATGTCAGAATCTTGCAATGTCCTGGTTGAGTTGGATCTGCAAGTTCAAATGATTGTTCTTTGTGTTGGTATAGATTGGGATAAACTACACATCGACCATTTGGTACTTCAAGCGATCCTATATACTGACTATGCGGTGATTCTTGATCAATGCCATACACATCTTTCCAATACATATCAGATGCTCCTTGATAATGACACCAACTAACAACCTCGCGGAAATCGAGTTTGGGTGTGGTGATATTTTCCACGTCGTAGTAATACAGTCCAGTTGCAACAATCGATTCGTTAATTGGACCTTCAATGTGCCAGTTTCCCTTGTCGTATTTAGGTTTGGATGGTGTCAGTTGAATGTTGGTGAGTTTGACAATGACTTGCAGATTACGACCACGCAGTGACACTGGCTTTGCCGATTCATATTTGGATTCAAAATGTTCCGGAAGTGTTGGTACATACACGGGACAAATGACTCGAGTGTCTGGTTCCATATCATCATGATCTGACTGGCTTGGTGGTTTATATCCCTTTGTGCGATTGCAAATATCAATATACTTGAACATTGGATCCATCGTTCTGAACAGACTTTCAAACATTGGGACAAAACATTTGAATATTTTGGCAATACATTTGTACATGTCTCGATGCCATATCGGATTCAGATTGTTGATGTATGAGTTGATGGTCACACTGCCATCCTGTTCAACACGGAATTCACTCAGAAGCCATTGGAACTTGCGTGATATAAACTTGGAATCGCCGTCAATGATGGGCACACTTGAAACAAGTCGAGTCGATAACAATATATCGCATGGTACCATTGTGGTGTATTTGAGTCGTATCCTCAGTGGTGCAATCATCGTTTGTCCATATACAACACTGTACATTGATGCATCAATCAGATTGTGCACCATTTGACCAGTGTTGTGATTTGATCCATGTTCAATATCCGATACATTTGTCATCAATCGCGTGTATACATTGTCAGGTATGCCATTGTCCAGTATATACGTCAGTTCAACAGGTCCTGGGACAATCGTGCCCAATCCATCACTGCCACTACAAACAAACTGTTTGACAAAAACCTCGAGTTGTTCCAATGCAAGATTAAATGTTGATGGTGATATA